GAGGAGGAGAATGAGGAGGCGGAGGAGGAGGCAGGCCAGCTCAGACCCAGGACTCATCGGCGATGTTGGCATAGGCCCTCCGCGAAGCTCCCTCGTCACAGGCCCCCTGCAAGGGTTCATCTCCGCTGAGGGTGCTGCCTCGTTGGGAGACAGCAGGCTGAGGAGCTCAAATCGTGCCAGATCGGAATTCCCCGGACTCCAACGCCTCGAATCAGCATGACTGGTGCGTCTTGACGACCTGGGGGTCTGCCAGAACACCCTTCCTGGGACTTCCATTCCGCGGATCAGCGTATCGGTTGCGCCCCCACACTCCAGAGTCCTTCCAACACACAACTTTCTGGCACGTTAACCGTGGGAATCCGTGAAACTCTTGTACATGTTGAAGAGCGAGTGTGCGCGGCGCAAGGGCGAGAGCCACATATTGAAACGACCCACCCCGAATCCACGAAGTTCTTGCAGAATTCGAAGACGAATGAATGTGCGCGGCGCTAAGTCGAGAGCCACATTTTGAAAACCACCCGCTCTCAATCGAAGCTGTATCAAATTTTTGAAACTTGTGCGTGGCTCTAAAGCGAAAACCACATGTTGAGAACGACCCACCCTCAGTCCGCGAAGCTCCTGCAATGTTTTACACGAATGTGCGCGGCGCTAACGCGACAGGCACATATTGAAAAGAAACCGCCCTCAGTCCGTGAAGCTTTTGCATTTTTTGTTTAACGAATGTGCGCATTGCTAAGGCGAGAGCCACATTTTGAAAACCGCCCGCCTTCCCATCCGTGAAGCTGTTGCCAATTGATTAGTTTCAGGGTGAAATGATGAGGACGACCAGGCAAAACGCCCGGCCCGCCTTTTGGACCGGCCTCGGGGTGAGACAGGGAGGAGTGATTTACAAGGAAAAGAAGAGGGGAGGAGGAGGAGGAGGAGGAGGAGGAGGAGGAGGAGGCGGCAGATGTGGAGGCGGAGGAGGAGGAGGAGGAGGCAGATGAGGAAGAGGAGGATGGAGGAGACAGGTGATGATGATGATGACGATGATGATGCTGGTGATGGTGATGATGCTGCTGAATGCTGCTGACGACGAAGACATGATGATTACGATCATGATGCTGCTGGTGATGATGATAATGATAATGATGGTGATGATGATGATGACGATGATGATGATGATGATGATGCTGATGATGGGGATGGGGATGGGGATGATGGTGCTGGTGGTGTTTATGATGATGTTGACGTTGATCTTGATGCTGATGATGATGATGATGCTGATGCTCATGCTCATGCTGACGACGAGGGTGATATTGATGATGGTTATGATGTTGATGATGACATTGAAGATGGTGGTGACGACGCTGCTGCTGATGATGCTGATGATGATGCTGCTGACGCTGATGATGATACTGATGATGACGATGATGATGCTTTGGCTGCCTCTGCTTCTGCTGATGACGATGACGACGATGATGACAATTATAATGACGACGACGAGGATGATGTTGATGATGACGACGACGATGATTCTAATGATGTTGGTGGTGATGATCGTGGTGATTGTGATGGTGATTGTGATGGTGATGGTGATGATGATGATGCTGATAACGTTGATGATGAGAGGGAAAAGGGGGAGAAGTTGGAGGAGGAAAAGGAGTAAGAGCGAGATGATGCTGCTTCTCCTCATGATGATGCTGATGCTGAGGATGAGGATCACGATGCCGATGATGGTGGTGATGATGATGATGCAGAGGATGATAATGATGGTGATGATGATGAGGATGAGGAGTACTATTATGATGATGATGGTTATTATGGTGGTGGTGGTGATCATGATGGTGATGATGATGATGATGCTGCTGCTGATGATGATGATCATGATGATGCTGCGGATGCAAATGCGTGTGATGCTGACGATGTTGATGATGGCGCTGATGATTCTGATGATGATGATGGTGCTCATGATGCTGATGGTGACGATGCTGATTGCGATTGTGATGATGTTTGTGGTGATGGTGATGGTGATGGTGGTGATGCTAAGGATATTGACAATTGTGATCATGGTGATGATGTTGATGATGATGACGACGACGACGACGACGATGATGATGATGATGATGATGATGATGATGATGATGATGGTCATGATGATGGCGCTGTCGCTAATGTTTGAGGGGGAGGGGCAGGAGGAAGAGGAGGACTCGGGACAGGATGATGATGACGATGCTCATGCTGATGGTGATGACGACGACGATGACCACGATGACGACGCTGATGATGATGACTTTGCTCATGCTGCTGCTGATGCTGATGCTGATGCTGATGATGATGAGGATGATGCTGATGATGACGATGACGATGACGATGACGATGATGATGATGATGATGATGATGATGATGATGATGATGATGATGATGATGATGATGATGTCGATGATGATGTCGATGACCATGCCGACGCTGATGGCGACGACGCTGCTGCTGATGATGATGAGGATGGTGTTGACGATTATGATGACACGGCTGATGATGATGATGATGATGATGATGATGATGATGGTGACGATGATGATGATGATGATGATGATGATGATGATGATGATGATGACGGAGTTGATCATGATGGCGACGATGAGTTTGTTGGTTCGGGATTTGACGAGGACGATTGTGATGATGACGATGCTGATGTTGGTGATGATGATCATGATGCCCATGATGCTGATGATGGTGTTGTTAATGATGAGGCTGATGATGATGATGAGGATGACCATGATGATGATGATGATGATTATGATGATGACGATGACGATGACGATGATGATGATGATGACGATAATGATGACACTTGTGCTGGTGGTGTTGATGGCGATGATGATGCTCATGAGTATGATGAGTCGCATCAGCATGATGAGTTGTTTTGTGCATGACGATGGTGGTGGTGGTGGTGATGACGATGATGATGATGATGATGATGTCGATGGCGATGATGTTGACGATGATGATGATGATGATGATGCTGATGATGATGCTGCTGATGATGATGATGATACTGCTGATGATGCTGATGATGATGCTTATGATGATGATAGCGTTGATGATGATGGCGGTGGTGATGATGGTGATGGTTGTGATGGTGATGGCGATGGCGATGGTGGTGATAATGATAACGATGTTGATGATGACGGTGGTGACAATGGTGACGACGGTAGAGGACCATTAGTGGACACTCCCCCGCTCTCCAAACTCTCCCCCGCCCATCAACATTCAAAGTTGGCACGCGCGGGAACACTGCAGTCGAAGTGCAACTCATCCAACCCACTATCAACATTGATCATTGGGGAGGGGACGTCGACAGATGAATGTGGCATGAGTGTTCGCTAATTTATTTCGAGGCCTGGATGGCGATGGCGATGATGATCGATGACAATGACGATGACGATTATGATGATGATGATGATGATGATGATGATGATGATGATGGTGGTTATGACGATGATGATGATGATGATGATGATGATGATGATGATGATGATGATGATGATGATGATGATGGTGGTTATGATGATGATGATGATGATGATGATGATGATGATGATGATCATGCTGGTGGTGGTGATGTTTGTGATAACGACGATGGTGATGGTGGTGATGCTGGTGGTGACAACGAGGACGTGGACGAGGATGATGCGGACGAGGAGGATACGGAGGAGTAAGAGGAGGATACAGAGGAGGAGGAGGCCTAGGAAGAGGAGGATACTGAGGAGGATACGGAGGAGGATGCCGAGGAGGAGGAGGAGGTGGGAGAGGAGGATCAGGAGGAGGATGAGGACGTGGTCTCTCCGTCTCCCGCATTCAGTGGCACGTGGGAGCACTGATGGGCCTTGCCCTGTGTGGCCGAGGAGGCCACCCGTTGTGCATTGTGATTGGCCAAGAGGCCGCGTGCGCCCTGTGGCAGAGGGCTCTCCTGGTGGCCAAGAGGCTGGGCAAGGCCAAGAAGTTGGAGGTCAAGCGCATGAAGCAGAAGAACAACTCGGAGGCAAACGGGGGTGTTGGGAATCCTTTGTGTGCGCTTCTTCATGCCCTTGCGGGCTTCTCCACGCTCCCGCCTTTTAATCCATTATGGTTCTTGTTGCGAACGCGCTGCCTGTACTTCGCTTGTGTTCACGCCTGTGGCTCCGTTTTTCGTTTTTTTGTTCGCACGAGCGTTCAGACGCGGCGATCGCTTGGATCAACGTGGGTGTAAGGTAAACCGCAGGCAACCGGAGTTCAGCACGAACGCCGTAAGCATACATGTTTGGAGGTCCGCGTGGATCTTGAGTCGGCGCTGGGCCCCCCTCAGGACACCCCACTGCGGCGCCTCCATCGTTCCGCCCTTGAGAGGGGTCGGGGCAGGGTGTGCGGAGGGGGGTCCAACGCCGTCCCGGGAAGTCCGCGCGGACCCATGGAAGCATGCGCTCGTGCCGCTAACGCCTGGCTTTCCAGGTTAAGGACCTGTCCTTCTACATGAGGTCGTTCTGGGCCTGCCAGCAGCAGTTCTTCCGCCAGCTGCTCATCTGCGCGAAGGTCGACGAGGCCACCAAGCTGGCCGAGGCGGCGCTGCTGCGCGGCGACCGAGGGGCAACGAACCGGTCCAGCATACCCATCGGTTGCTGAAAGTAGGCACAGGAATCCACATCCAAATGCCGCATCAACCCGCCAGATTCTGATTTACTCTAGGAGCCTTCCTACTTCAATAATCGAGTGGCTTTCCTTCTTCCTTCGTCTCCAGGTGGCGGGCGAAGATTTAACATTATTACGTACATCGACTTCCGACTTCATGTTTTTACCTACTTCTTCCGACCTGTGGGTAAGTTTTTGGAGGTCTGCGCAGATGTCTTGGGTCGGCTCTAGACCCCCCTCTGGCAGATGCAGGAGGAGGAGGAGGAGGAAGAGGAGGAAGAGGAGGAGGAGGAGGAGGAGGAGCAGGAGGAGCAGGAGCAGGAGCAGAAGCAGAAGCAGGAGAAGGAGGAGGCGACGGTGGAGAATGAAGAGGAGGAGGAGGAGGAGGAGGAGGAGGAGGAGGAGGAGGAGAATCAGAAGGAGAAGGAGACCAGGAGAAGGAGGAGCAGGAGGAGGAGGAGGAGGGATAACGAGGAGAACGAGAAGGAGGAGGAGGAGGAGGAGGAGGAGGAGGAGGAGGAGGAGGAGGAGGTGGAGCAGAGGACGTGGAGGAGGAGGACATCGAGGAGGAGGCGGAGGAGGCCTCCCCTGGCGGCGCCTCCAGCTCCGCCCTGGCGTGCTGCGTGCACCAGGCCCAGGCCCGGGTGCGCACAAGGGGGGGGGGGGGGCGGAGCGGACGGCTTCTAAGAAGACGAGGGAGGGCAGAGGCCTCCTCAGAAGGGTTCCTCCTCCTCCTTCTCCTCCTCCTACTCCTCGTCCTCCTTGTACTCCCCGTCCTCCTCCTTCTCCCCCTCCTCCCCCTCCTCCACCTCATCCTCCTCTCCTCCTCCTCTCCTCCTCCTCCTCCACCTCCTCCTCCTCCCTCTCCTCCTCCTCCACCTCCTTCTCCTCCTCCTCCACCTCCCCCTCCTCCTCCTATTCCTCCTCCTCTGTCTCCTCCTCCTCCTCCTCCTCCTCCTCCTCCTCCTCCTCCTCCTCCCCCTCTTCTTCTTCCTCTTCCTCCTCCTCCTCCTCTCCTTTCCTCCTCCTCCTCTTTCTCCTCCTCTTCTCTCCTCTCCCCTTCCCCCTTCTCCCTCCTCCTCCTCCTCCTCCTCCTCCTCCTCCTCCTCCTCCTCCTCCTGGGAGGCTTCCAGGAGGCCCTATCGGAAACACCAGGCCCTTCTGGGAATCCTCCAGGCCCTCCGAATGGCCCCTCGACTCCCCAGGAGGCTGTCTGGCCTATGCTGAACGGCGCGCGAGCAGCGAAGATCGGCGGCGCGCCCAGGGAGGGGAAGGACGCGAGGGCGTGCCTCCCCCGAAGACTCAGAAGGGTTCCGGCCTTCTGCGATGTGTCCTGCAGTGGGGGCCCAGGCCAAGAAGCCCCCTGCTTGCCTCCAGGGCGCCCTGGGTCTCTTGGGTCTCGAGGGTTTCGCGATGGACAGCGAGGCGTTCCCGCACCAAGCATCCATGGACGTCCTGGGGTCTCAGGGTTGGGCTTCTGGCGGAAGGTTTCTCGTGGCCGAGCCCCCTTGCAGGCCTTCTCCGCCGTCGCAGTGGGCTTCTCTGGAGGCCTGGATGGCTTCTGGGAAGCCCGGTCGCCTTCTGAGGAGGCCCGCCCGGCCTGCCCCCTGGCGTGTTCCCCCCCCTCGGCGCGCCGCAGAGCCTCCGACCCCAGTCTTAAGTCGGGCCTGTCCCTCTACAGGGGGGAAGTTCAAAAATCGTAAAACAATAGTCTGGGGACGATTTTTTGACTAGTTTTGAGCATTTTGGGGGGGTATGTTTTCAGTATTTGGCATTTTTCGCCCAACATCCCCCTGTAGGGGGGACACATCCGACTTAACCCCAGTGGTCGACATCTGCTAGCCGGCCCTGGGCGTTTACCACACGGCCCTGCCCCGCTCGGTTCTTCGCCCGGGTGCGTTCACTGAACGGCTCCGCTTGCCGGGGTGCTTCGTATTGAGGCCGGCTTTCATCCGTATCGTCTCACTGCCCCCTATCCCCATCCCCTATCCCCATCCCCATCCCCATCCCCCATCCCCATCCCCTATCCCCTATCCCCATCCCCTATTCCCTATCCCCATCCCCATCCCCATCCCCATCCGGACCCCCACGATCTCAGCACCCCAGTCGGGGATGCACCTTTCGAAACCCGAAGGGAACTGCCTGTATCATCCCCCATCTAGGGGGTACATCGGCCGGTGGGGCCCAGGCCACGTCCATGGGGATAGTTCGGCGCTCGATCATGGACCTCCTGCTAACCGCAACTGGCCAGCTTTCGTGCCAAGCACCGCTGGGCACCGCCAAAGACCGCCAGAAAACAGAACACCGGCAAAGACCGCGACAAGACTGCCGACAGACCGTCCGAAGACCGCCGAAGACCGCCGTAGACGGCCCCTAAGAGCGATGGGTAACACGGAGCCGAATGTCGAACGCTTACGGATACGGTAGGTTTGCGTCGTGTCGACCAGCGGCGACCCCAGCGCGGGCGTTCAAGGTTGAACGCCGCCAGCGACCCAGAATCGATCGATGTTGAACGATCGGACGTTGCGGCAGCGGCCGATCGTTCAAGGTTGAACGATCCCTGCGGTGTCAAAAACCAACGCTGGGGTCGGCACGACACGAACCTGCCGTAAGGGACATTCAATCGATGATGCTTCTTCCAGGCGAGGCCGTGGTCATATCGATGTGGTCCACGGGGGAGAGCGTCACGCAGGCGAGGCTCCGGCGTGAGGGCCCCGACGCCGCCGAGGCGTTCGCGTCGGCCCCGCGCGAGATCGCCCTGCGGATGTCCGAGAAGATCCTGGCGCCCATGGTGGAGCACATCAGGCCATCGAGAACAGTTCGGAGGGCACCATCTATACACCAACACCGATCCTGGCCAGGATCGGTGTTGGTGTATAGTTGGTGCCTTCCTAATCGAGAACAGTGAGCGTTGTTTGATTCAGTCTTTGCCGATCGGCGCGGGCCCCCGCCCCCCCCCCCGTGGAGTAGATCTTGACTGTCTTTCTGGCGCCTGTTCCGGGCGGGTGGAGTCCCTCCCGCATGGGACGCACGGTCCCACGCAGTCGCACTGAGCAGAGGTCCGGAGCCAGCGCCCCCCCCCTCCCCCCCCCCTTCCGCGCAATGCCGAAACGCCGAATAAGACAACGCTGACAAGAGAGAACCCTTACGCGTCGGCCGTTGAAAGCGGGTACTTTCGGACTCCCAGATCCACTCCTACTTAAGCCGCCTTCGGACCTCCAGGTCGATGTTTCCCTCCCCTGAGATCTGGACGCCGCGAAGCCACTGCCACATCGCAACAGACATGACGTCCGGAGCCCCCATCTTTCTGCGTCTGCCCCAGGCCCCGAAATGTTGCGGACGTTTTTCAGGAGCGACAGAAGGACGTACACGTACATGAATCCACGCTGGTTTCGAGAGCACGCATTGCGCAAATGTTCGTATAACGCGGCCGGTCTCGCGGATCGAGGGGCCGTGTTCATGTACATAGCTGGGCGCGTACGTCCTTTGTGGGCTCCCTAGTTCTTGGCTCGAAAACATTGCGTCGCCAGGATAGCAGGGTCTCTGCGCCGGCCCCCCCCCCCCGAGTCGACCGGCTTGTCCTCCTCCCTCCTCTGCGGGGGGCGGGCGGGCGCCCAGTCTGATTCCGATGCCTTCCTACACCTTAGGCGATGCTTAAGAAAACTTCAGTTTTCGGCCAGAGTCTCGATTATTCTTAACGTTTCAATGTAAATCTTAAGATTATAATATAAACGTTGGGTTGTTATTCAAGTTCTGAGACTATGAATTTCTTAACCCATGATTTCTTAAGCATTTCGCAGGGTGTACTTCATGCTTCTGCCCATTTCCTTCCGACCGGCGGGTCACCCCCCAAGCCGAATGACAGGATGGCGTGGCCTTACTCGAATCACCGTCTATGCATTCGGGTGCAGCGCCTGGGGGGTCAAATTCGGTTTTTGCCCTGGTCCGAACTCCGGCTTCATCCCGTTCAATCCCACTTGATTCGGCTGAATCCGGCTTAATCCCGCTGAACCCCGCTTAATCCGGCTTAATCCGAGGCCCATTCCATCAGTACAGCCCCCCAATGGGGTTTAATCCTCTTTAATCTTTCCGACGAAAACCTCCCAGTAGTTGTCTCCTAACCGTCTTTGCATTCGGGGTAACAGCTCTGGGCGATTATATTTGATACATCTGCTGAATTGACTCGCCGATTCCGAATTTGTGTTGGCCCTCCTGAGGTAGGTCCCTCCTAGAGGGTGAGGGGTACTTTTAATTGTTCCTCGTCAGGTGCGACAGGGAAAGGAGCCGCAGACTCAAATAATAAAACTCAGCAAAAAACACAAGCTCTGCGAGGTCCGCACAGATATCTTGGATCTGCGCTGGGCTCCCCCCCAGGCGGCGCCTCCCGCCCCCCTTCCCTGGCGCGCCTCGCGCGCCAGGGAAGGAGGGTCCAGCGCCGATCGGAGAAATCCGCGCGGATCTCCGAATGGTTATGCTTACAGTGGAGGCCCATGCCAAGAAGCACACTGCTTGCCTCCAGGGTGCCCTGGGTTTCTTGGGCTTCGATGGTTTTGCTACGGAGTACGTGACGTTCCCACACCAACAAACAAGGAACGTTCTGGGGTCTCAGGGTGGGTTGGGTTTCTTGTGGAAGGTTTCTTGTGGACTGGCCTCTGCTGTATGCCGTTTTCGGCAGAACGCATCCATACACCACCATGCCTGGCCAGGAGTGCGGTATGCACATGCTTGTGCCCAGGATGGGCCTGGGCGGGAGTGGTGGTGGTGTGTCGGTGCTGTCCCTACACGAAGGAGCCAGTTCGAGGTGGAATTGATAGGGCTGGGGACGGCCCTCAAGGACCGGAGCGGCAAGAGACTATGCCAGCATCAATGTTCGGAGGTCCGCGCGGACTCCCTGGGTCGGCGCTGGACTCCCCTCTTGCACGCGAAGCGCGCCAGGGGCGGCGCCCGAGTCTGCGCCGCCGCCAGGGGTGGCCCAGAAGTTGTATGTCTACGTAGTCATCTTTTTTATTTTTCTCTTCTGCTTCTTCTTCTCCTTAGAGAGGAGGCAGGGGGGAGGGGATGCAGCGGCAGCAGGAGGAGGAGGAGGGGAAGGGGAGGAGTGTCCCTCCCCCCGTCCGACCGCCCATTAGGCCCCGCTCGCCCGACCCGCCCGTTGGGACCTGCCCAGTAGGACCGACCACGTGGCCCGCCCGACCCGCCCGTTGGGACCCGCCCATGAGGGTCCGCCCGCCCGGCCCGCCCAGTAGGCCTTGCCCGCCCGACCCGCCCGTTAGGGTCCCTCACGCCCGATCCGTTTATATCGCCCTGTCCGGGCTTTGTCCACGAGCTATCATCGGGAGCCTTGAGACGGGGG